TCTATGGGCATATCGACGAGAGCCGAGCGCGGCCGAGTGGCGCCGAGCGACGCCGACTCGGACCCTGCGCGCTCAACCCAAACCCGAGGTAGCATAGTTGCATTTAAACTGCCATCCCACCGAGGTCTCTCTTCCCGTGGTAGTCCGTGTCGGGCCGGGCCAGTTGCACTCGAGGAGTGCGCGTACACCTCGGCCACGTACACCCGCACTCTCCGGGACACCCGTGTCGCACTCGGCCGCCTTGCCCACTCTCGTCGTCGGCCGCAGTTCGTCCTCGTCCCGCGTCACGGATACGTGCGTGAGCCTCGCTCGCCCGTGCGCCGGATCACTCGGCTGTCGGGGGTTGTCGCGCGACGTTAAACCGAGCAGGCTCATCGCTTATTTTTTTGCCATTCGATTTTCCTCCCGTTCGATCGCGGCAAGTGAGAACGCAATCGTTTTTCCGCGGGACGGTATCGAGGTGTTTCTTTGCTGGCAAGTGTTGGAGGACTTTCGGAGTCACCCTTGCGCCGGGTTATCGGGATTCACCGTTGAACGGATAGGCGATTGGAGATCGATCGGAAGGCTGGAGTCCAGTGGAACGTTTGATCGATTTTCTTGGTGTTCCATGTAGTCGTCCTGTCGTCGGAGCTAGGATTAAGGTTTGGAGAACGGATCAAGGACTGTCAGAGCTGCGCCGGGGATCAGCTGCTTCCGTATGGTACGGTGTTGCACCTGGTCTTCCCCGAGTGCACGTTGAGTTCCCGAGGATATTCTTTCCGGAGCCAGGACCGGGGGAATTCTGTTCTTCGGAGAGGTCGCAAATTGGTTGTCGGCGTTCCTCGTTACCTTTCGGGACGGTTCCCAGCCCGACGGTTCGTTAGCTTTTGTGCCCGACCGAGACAACGCGTCCTCGGCGACCTGACGCGCTGAAAATTTAAGGAGACCCGACGGTTTTCTTCCCTCGGCCGCCGGTTACTTGTTGACTTTCTCTTCTGAGCGGCGCGCACCTAACCCGGGCATTATGTAAATCGAATTTGAATTTCTATGATCCCCAGCCGCTGTCCTCGACCGATGCCACGGAGGACTCGCGTGTTACACTTTCGCGGACCCCCCGGATCCACCGGCGAGATTGCCCCGGCGCGGGTTGATCGATAGAACCGCTTCGATCCGCAAATTGCCCGCCTCGAACCCCGCCGATACTCTTGAGCCGCGAGTCCATCGGGATCCAGGGACGGCCGGTTCGACTTATCGATTCCGTCACAAGCGTTTCTTTCACCTCTCCGTCCAGGCCACCGGGAACACTGTTGCCGGCTGGTCGGGTTAATTACTCCGGTTAATTACCTTCGTTATATCGAGCGGCAGCTTTTCACCCGATCGAGCCGACCGGCGTCGGGGAACATTTTTTCCTGGCGAATTCCATTGTCCCGCGATTTCGCGAACTCTCGTCGGGCGAGTCGAAGATCGTTTCTTCGAAGATTGACTCTCGTTCTGCTCGGAAGCTTATTATCCTCGAGATTTCCATGGATTTCGGCATGGAAAAGGAATCCTGCGTCCGGAGGCACGCATTTTTCGCGTTCCTCGCGAGATGTCCATGCGCTGTTACTACGTGCACCATGACGGGGTCACTTTTAAAGCCGATATTGCGGAATGGCGTGATCGCCATAATGAAATTCTACGAGGTCCTGGAAGAATTTCTGGCCCGCGAGCCGGCGTGTGACCCGCTCCTTCGAGATTTCGAGGACGCCTCTGTCGAGTTACGGCGAAAGGGTATCAGGCGGACGATGAGAAAGGATCAATTGGTAACGAGTCGAGCATGTTGGCGTTCCCCTGCGAATCGGCCGCATCGAACGGCCAAATTAACGCGATGCTCCCGTTCGGCGATATCCGGTCGGTCAAGGGGTGCCAACAACGCGTTCAATATTTAACTTCTCGTTTCACTCGTATCGCACGAGGCAACGGTGCTTTCCCTTCCGCTTCATTCGGCGCACAAGCGCGAATTATCGGCTCGGGATTGAAACTTCTCGCCTCCGGACGATCGTTTTCGAATATCTCGATCCTGGATCTCAACCTGGCTAACCTAATTCGCGGATCGTTCGATTCACACCGGTACCGTTCGCGTCCTGTGAATCCAAGTGTCCATTTTCGGGCTGAACGCCGAGGACGGGAACTGGAAGTTTCAGTGCGGGATCGTTCATTCCATTTTCTTCGGATTATCTGGTGTTTCTATTCATTCGCGAATTCGGTGAGCCGCCTCGAGAGCACTGAATGCTCCATGATTACGAAGTTTGAATTCGTTAAACGACGGATTCGTAGTATTTGAGTTTTTGGAGAGGATCGCTTTAATTGGTCGATTCGAGGCACGAAGATTTCGATGGGGAGAGTGATTAAGTTCGTTCGTTAGGTTTCAAACAGTCTGTGTCGAATTATCTGTTATAAATATTTCCGGTGCATCTGTGTATCTTTAATTTATAATTGACCATGAAAATGGTAGGAATTGTTCATGGAATAGTGGTTTTTATTGGTCTCGTTTTAATCCGTGAGGATGGTTTCGTTGCATTTAGATTCATACCTTAATTACTTCCGACAACATAATTAATTAGTCTTAATTAATGGCAAGTATATATCGGAGTATACACTTGGAAGTGTAATGTATTAACTTTTATAAACGGCAGGAGTGCGTTAATTGTGGTTTTATGAATGAATACGTATTTACATGGAAAAGTACCTTTATAATTTTAGGAATCGTTGAACAGAATATTATAAATGCGTCATTTTAATTCTCCGGGAATTTTTAATTCCAATCAATATTTATAAATGTCACTCTTCGGCTCTTCCATGATCGCTGTACAAAGAGTAACTGAAATGTAGAACATTTTATTGAATATTATAATTTCCTTTAGTTTAAAAATAAGGTTCACGATTTCGGTTGCAACTTAAAATAATAAAACCATCGTGTAACGCTCAGGCGATTATTACTTCATACCTCCGGTAGAAAGATAGAGGGCGAAACCATTAGCAAGAATGGACGAGTCGAATAAATTACACCGTTCTTGAACCGGGTCATTCATCTAAGATATTTGGAAACTATTGGGTCATCCGGAAAACTCGTGTTATTCCCTCCGCGGAATCTTTATTACCCTTTTCTGCCTAAGAAATATACTCTCATTTTACTTGGCAAACAAGCTGTCTTCTAAAAACGTTCCACGCGCATCCTATATGAAACTATCCATCACCCTTTTCATTATTCACAAAATATGCAATACTTCAACCTGGAAATTTTACCTTCAGAATATTAACACCTCGAAAATGTATCATTTGTCAAAAAATATCCACGAGTCCCTTTAAGAGAAACACAAAAACATTCGCGCAACCAATAATGAAATTATTCATAAATACAATAAACCTAATTAAATAAAAACTTGCAATTATTCATAAAATAGGACATAAATCCTGACACAATTCCACGCGTCAAAATCACAGGAACTTTTTAGTCCTAATTTCAACCTACTACAAAGTCTTCTACATATTTCTCAATTAATTATCCAAACCTATTACCAAAACTGGTACTTACGTATTACACGGATCTTCTTTGTCTCCTAACTCGTCCCTTGCTAACCAATCATTTAGGTTAAATCTGAAATAATATTTATTCAATATTAGAACACATTATTAATATTTTATCATCATTATTGCCTCTACCGTTATTATTCCTATTTAAAAATTACTATTAATATCCCATTCCAAAACCAAAGTAGTCCGTACAATATTTAAATACCCTAAAATTTATTATCACCGAATCCACATTGAAATGTCCATTTTGCAAGAACTTCTCGCGATATATTCTTTTCCAGAGTATATCAGGGTCGTGACTAAAAATCCAAGGCGAGCCGCGTCAAGCCACGGTCGAGCCCATTCCGTTCGGATGCAACGTATGACAAATTGTAATCGCGATCCGCAGCTTCTGTAATTACAGCTGATACTTGGTTCCGTGTCGCGGGGTCGTTACGCGCCGCCCAAAAGGTAATTTCTTACTCCGTGTAATAACACGCTCCCGTGGGCTGTGTACACACATCGGCCGCCACTTTTGTGCAACTATTACCGCAATTACTCGTCCTCCCTGTCGATCGTTCCCCGGTCAACTGTTGCACGCGAGTTATCCACCGCTCCGCGACTCGATTCGTTACCCGTTCGTATCGGTTAATTAACTGCTTAACCGCGAACGGGCACGAGGCTGCCGTTCCCTACGTAAAAATGATCATTCCTGGACCGGCCTGATTGCTCTTGGCCAGCACCACCTATCTCTCGGCCGATAAATTTGCCGTTCCCCGGGCCACTTTCCTTTTTTCCATTGGCGAACCTTTTGCTGCTTGATTGGCAGCCCTTTGGTACCTCGGTTAGGCGGTTCAACGTGTTCATTGTCGCTTCCGTCGTGTTCGGTTGACACTGTGCTTCGTGCTGATCGGGAAGCTAATTTTCATGGTGATTCGTCGAGTGAGATTCGCTGATTGTCAGTGTGCTAAGAGGATTCGCATTCCGTACCTGATTATAGAAGGCTTTGAATTTATAATTAGGACATTCTTCATGACTACGAAGAGTCTTTCGGTCAGTGTGTCAGTAAATTAATTGCTTCGTTCGTTGTTACCATTTTATGGTAGATGTATATTCGGACTGGCAATTGGTTCCTAGAGCGAAGAATCTAATTTTGGTGTATCAAATAAATTTAGACTCTACAGGAATAACGATCAATTCTAGAGTTTATCTCCTCGATTTATATATTTAGAGAGCTTGAAACGCTACTTTAATTTAGGAGCCTCCAAATGTATCCCTTCGACTCGAGGTGTGAAGTCGGTGACAGGATTCTACGGAAACCACGAATACATTCCTCAAACGTATTTCCAACAGTACTCGAAACAGGTTTCGAGTCGCGCTTACTTCAACACGAGGGGAAAGGAAAAAAAGAATTAACAACCAGCCGTCGTCGTCAAAGGATCCATTCTCCTCGGTCGAAAACCCGGGATTCGTAGTGAAATTCCGGACCACGAGGTCCCCAATTCCAGTTCCCCGCTGGAAGTTTGGGTTACTTTAAGAAAAGTGGCAAACACGAGACAGAACTTTCCCCCAATTTCCACGGCTAAAGGACTTCCCGGTGAACTCCGGGACTCCGGAGTTGTTCCCCAATTGAAGCGAAATTCCTCGTCTAATTTTAATAAGACGAAAAAACGCGGACGACGGTCTTCCCTCGGCGTGGGAAAAAGGAGGATCGTCCTTGCATTAAGTCGAATATCGGTGTCGATCGATACCCGGGCACGGGTTGAGAATTAAAGAGCCGCGCTATTGTGAGAGAACATCGGAAGTAAATTCTCGCGAGTGATGGGGTAGGGGGCCTCGAGGAGAATTGATGAGGATCGATGTCGAGGAGCCGACGCGGACGGGGGACGAGGAACGTGAGCGTCGTCTTCTTGTTCAGCGAAATCGGTGAGTACGAATGAAATCACTTTTATCGGGGAATTTAAACGTCTACCGGTGCGCCGTGGATCGAGGGCTCAGACGCAACAGGGTGACATGTGCGATTCGAATGTGTACGCGTCCAGGCTTCGCTTTGAAACTGATAGACTATAAATCGCGTGCGCGAACATGGCCGAGATTACAGAACACGGAGGAATTCCGGTTAGTCGGGCTGACATAGTGATCTTTCTTCTTTTGCTAGCATTTTTCGGCAGGCTTTCGGGAAGGTTGCGTCCACTTTGTGGGTTGTTAGCTGATACAAATGATGTGGAAATGTGGAACAGTCGTGTGGTGGAAGATAGTATTTTAAGGGTTGAGATGTGAAGTCTCTTTATTTTATTTTAGGAGATGGATGGTAATTAGACTTCTTTTACTTGAAACATGATGTCGAGAGATACTTTTTCTTTGTGATCCTATTTTTAAATACTTCTTTGTAAAAGTTGCAACCATTTTGTGGTTGTTAATATAAGTGATGTTTAAATGAGGAACAGTTGTATAATGGAAGGTAGTATTCACAGGGTTGAGAAATGAAGTCTCTTTATTTTATTTTAGGAAATAGATGGTAATTAGACTTCTTTTACTTGAAACATGATGTCGAGTTGAGAGATACTTTTTCATAATCCTATTTTTAAATACTTTTTTGTAAAAGTAGCATCTACTTTGTGGTTATTAATATAAATGATGTTTAAATGAGGAACAGTTGTATGGTGGAAAATACTTTTGAAAGGGTTGAGAAGTGAAACGTCCTCGTTTTATTGTAGGAGGGAGATGATAATAAAATTTTCTTTATTTAAAAAATGTTGTCGAGCTAACTTAGTTCTCTTTATTAACCTTTCTGGAAAGGTTGCTTCCAGTTTGTAATTATTAGCAGCTAAATTATATAAATGATGTGTATTCAATAAAGAAAACTCATCTGAATAAAATTTCCAAGTAAAACCTCTTTAAAATAGATTACGATTAGATTTCATTTATTTAAACAATTATGTCAACCATATAAATGTCATATCAGTGAGAATGTTAAATGTTTGTCTGCTCGAAAGTATTTCAATTAATTTTCGATGCAATTATATGACGGAAAATTATGTAACGTGCATTACAGTGGTAAAATGAAATAATCTAATGCAAATACTTCTTTCTATTTTATTTCTATAAGTTCTTCTTTTACCGCGTGTACGTGGGCACAATTGAAATACGCTTTGCCTGCGTGAAATCCAGAGTTCACTCATTTAACTTTATTAACCTTTTTACTGTAATGAGTTCTTCGCAGGCGTGTGTGATATGAATCCATAAAATTCACAGTCCACTGTTATGAAACTAAAACAGCACTTCTTTTTTAATTTCGTGTCTGCGTGAAATGCGAATTTCAATAAATGTCCTTAGCGCAATTAGTGGACTGCAGATGTTATAAAATTTACCTTTTTTTTTCTAACAAAACTCGATATCCCATCGAAATTAATTTTCTTCCGAAAGAATTTCAATTTATTTAATATAATTGAGAAATGAATGACATTTTTGTTCAAATTATTTCACTTCGTTTCGCACAATTAAATAGGCTATGAATGAATATATATATATATTCGGAAATTGGTGATTAGCTGTCCGAGCATTAATTGCAGAAAGGAATTCTGTACGAATAAAAAATGAATTCTTTTAGTATTAGTTCCGTGGTACGTACTATACGCTTTATGAAAATTCGGGTTTAAAAGTCCACTGACCCACATTACACGTTCCAGCACTTTTTAACGTGCCCACCGTCCCGTATGTAGGACAAAATGGATTTAACGCGTGAGCTTATGAGCAACATATGGCACACGGATGTATTCAACTTATTCTAGGTCGTTTCTCGGAACGTGTGAACAGTTTTCCAGTTCTATTTACGGTGGCTATTAAATCTGAAGCTTCTTTAACACAGAGAACACAAAAACTGAGCTTTCAAAGTGAGGCAACTTTAAATTAACACAATGCTAATTTATTTATAAATGAAAATCCTTTTTTATTATATACCCACTTTTAATGGACAATTGAAAAATGAAAAAAAAAATATAAATATCGTGTTCCAACGAAGGAAATAGATTCTTTAAATAAATGTTTCATAATATAACATTCATCGAACAGTCTAAATTTTGCAATAATATTTTTTTCCTCTTTTAGAAAAGGAGATATTTAAATGTTATCGAGTAATATTAACTTTAATTAATTGTTTCTAATAAAAAAAATTCAATTTAGATAATAGTTTCATAGAATCAAATGTAATTTCCATTTCTATGCAGAATCGTGCAGATTAATGATTAATTATGGGAAACTGTATTGTCTCATTCCGAGAGTCATGGAAAAATTAAGATATCAGACCCCGGGGAATTAAAAGGGTGACACGTTTAACGTCATCGAGTGAGAAAAAAATACCTGTCACCTGTCTGGATTCCATGACACGAACGTGTCAAACTACACATTCCCTGATCCTCCGCAATCGCGTGCCGAGCCCGCGCTTCACGCTTAAATATTAGCTCGCGAGAAACAGGGCGTCCGGTCGATGCGTTATCGGATTTAAGCGTGACAGAATCGTGCTAAACATTAACCCTAGAACCGCCCAGCTGAAATCTTTCTCATTGTTCGCTGCTGGACGGTTAACAAAGGACTGGCAATCTTTTTAGTTGTAATCCTTTAGATATATCTTTCGAGTTCTTTAAGGTAACATTTTCATTTAGATTTCATCTTTGGTTTAATTTAATTACAAATGTAACTGTACGAATTTTCTGTATATATACAGTTAGCTATGTATTATTTAAATAAAATTTAATATATCACGAATTTTTGGACTATATTATAAATATATTTATAATATATTATATATATATTATTATATTATTCCCCGGAGTCTGATATCCTAATTTTTCCATGACTTTCGGAATGAGACAATACAGTTTCTCATAATTAATTATTATTATATTATATATTATATTATAAATATGTTATAAATATATATTAATATTATAAAAGTAATATTCTGATGTAATGTCGTTAACATTCTTTACAATTGATATATGGATAATCATATATAAATTAAGGAACAGAACTATTTGAATGTTTCATATATTACCTGTTGCAATAAACAAAATTTAATATTGCATATTAACCTTTTTTATTTTGACGTGTCCACCCAAGTAACGATTTTCCCGTGCAATGCATTGAAATAGTGTGTGATAAATATTTGTCTGTAACATATTTAATGGCAATTAAAAAATGTAAAAACATACGATGTTCATATTTATCCAATCGATGCAATAGTATGATAGACTAATGCGGATTAACCGGTTCTTATGGAGCCGGGCCTCAGACTGGGTAAATGGACGTCCGGATAATTTAAGCGTGTATTCGACACATGTAAAATACCATTTATAAATTGTACGTCAGGTCGATAAAATTTCTTTATGATGCCATTGTGTCCATTTTAAACGTCATGTAGGTATTATTCAATAGCCCTTTTCTTCTTCTACAATGCCGCGTATTGAAATTTTTCATTTCACCTCGAAAGAAATTGCAAGACACAGAGCTGCATTGTTTCGCGATAGTTTATTTTCATTCATTGTAAGTAATACGCGACGTGTTCCAGGAAAATGGGGCTAACGTGCAGAAACAACTTTTCGCGAAAAAAATCCTTCCGTGGATATTCACCTCCGTAACGGTATTATATTTCGTTTAACCGTACATTGTGGAGTTAATATTTATTCTACCATACTGGAAT